ATCCTATATTTATCTTTTTTTCCCCCCGGGTTTGGATATGCCATCATTTTTTAGTTTTCAACTTGAATATATGTATTTTTTAATTATTTTTTTTCCTCTTCTTGTGATTCTCTTCCCCTTTACATTGCCCATCTCATCTACCCTGTTTGCTGCCAGACTCGCTCCTCGCTATTTCACTTTCCCAAAACGAAAGGACTGCTGTCGTCCACTTCAAGGTCTGTGTCTTAGAAACTTCATTCCCTTCACTTTTAATTATTGATTCTGTGCTCACAGTCTTCCCCAGCCCCGTCCCTGCCCCGACGCCATCCCTGTGCTCTGCCGCGGCCGTGCCTGTCGCTGGCTGATGGCCCCTGTCCCTGCCTCTCCTCCCTGGTGGCTCTTGGCTCGCCAGTCCTCTGTCTCCACAACTGCTGCCCAGCTTCATAAATAATGAGTGATACTTCAGTGGCCTATTTTGTCAGCCATTTTCTAGCAATAATTGCAGGTAGGCAGAAATCTGTCTTTTAGCTCTGGCTATATATCCTAAAAAAATAATAAAAAAATAAAAATAAAAATGCTCCTTTAACTTCTGAGGATTTTGTACCTGTTTTAGCATTGCCATTTCCCACCTTTGCTCATCTGACATTCAGGTGATTTTATGAAATGGGGAGGCAGAAGGAGATGCACCCAGTTTGAATTGCTTGGATTTAAGGCACTGTAAAAAGTGAGATATTACTGCGTGCCCTCACAATTTTGAATTCTCTACCACTGAAAATCTCTCATGCTAAATGCCCTAAGAAGATTAAGATCAGCCCTTTTAGTATTGCTTTTAGCTGAGCTTATTTGTAACCCTTTCAGAATATGTAGCACCTTGAGAGATGGCACGACAGGGCTGCTGTTGTCACAAGCATTACGTACCCTTTATGCAGTATTTTCTCAAATATTAAGACTTTCTCCCCAGCTTAGCACTTTTATGTTAACTGATTAACTTGCATAAACTGTAGTTTTTAGGGTTTTTTTTTAAGAGACTGCATTTATTTTGCCCCTTTGAGCAAGTTCTGTCTCTTTTCCACATCTCTTCTACTTTCTAATTGCATAGCTATATGTGTCTTCCTCCAAATCCTGAATAACTGCGATTATCACCATGTATGATAAGTTTACATATACTTAAAAAATTAAACTTAAATCACAGAAGACCATATGGGTCTCTTAGTGAATTTCACTCAAATTCAAGAGATGAATATGCACTGAATAATGTAAAGGGCCAAGTTCTGCTATTTCTTTTTTTTTTTTTTAAATGTGTTTGCCATCACTGGTCAGGGATATGGGTATCCTGCAGCCCCAGGGAATGACTCCAGTTTAGCTGGTCTCTGTGCACTCTCCTTCCAGTTCCAGCAATGGGTAAGGGCTTGAAGGCTCAGGCTGAATTCACAAAGTCCCTGAATAGCAGAAGGGTGTTTTGAAGACTGTTGCCATTGATTGTATAGAGGAGCATCATCGTAGTGCTATGAAGTTGCCTTTTTTTTTAATCATTTTAGGCTGAAAAGAGGGATGTCAAGTTATCAATTAATCCTGACAGCATCCTTCTGTGGTGAAAAAATAATACCGTCACACCCATTTTATAAACAGAAAATCGAAGGCAGAGATAATGGAGGCTCAATACTGGTGGTGCTGGTACCACCACCCTCCCATTCCCTGTTTCAAGGACAGCCTTGAAAGTTTTATTTCAGATTGCAAAGGGAAGTCACTAAATCAGGCTGAACCCTGGGCCACGTTCCCATACCCAGACCACTAAACCTCAGCCAGTTCTTAAGAGAGACTTCAAATGTCTCTCTTAAAATGTGTCTTAGATTCAAAAATAAAATATCCTGGGTCAAAAAAATTAGCGTGCAGTATCTAAACATGGAGATTGAATGTCTCCAACGGCAGTACTCTCAAATCCGAGTATAGGTATGGTGCCTCTGTCTGTTTTGTGGCATTTTCAGCTGGAGTTTGGACATTCTGATGTTTTCATGTTCTTACGATGAAATTTAGAGCATCTTCTACCATGCCCAGTTCTTATTTTTCCTTTACCAGATGCATATCAAATCAAGTAAAAATGCAAGAGCATTTCAAATACCTAAACTAGCAACAAAGCCAGACCCTAGAATCACATGAGCTTAATTTTTCCCCAAACATTGTATCTTAGAAGAAAAGGCTGCATTTTAATATCAAGCTTTTATACAGTTTTGCAGTTCTTAAGGAAATGGAGTATATATAATTAATACTGTTTAATAAAGCTCAAAAATGCAACAGATGCAGCCAAAAGTGCACGTCATTTTGAGCAGATCTTTAGAGAACAGACATTCCATATTGTGTTCATCTTTTTCCACGATCACTGCTATGGCAATCTGGTGTGTTTAGCAGTTGTTGCTGAGTAAGGCAGACTGGATTGTATATGATTTTCTCCATGTCAGCCAAGAAACAGAGCTCTCTTCTTTTTGATGCAGTAAAGAGGTGGTCTTGTGCTATTTATTGCTTTCTACCAGGAGCAGCTATACCTTCACTAACTTGCAAGAATAATAATACGTGGCAATCTGTAGGTGCACGTGCTAGAAGCTCTCTGTAGGTCTTAACTGAAAATAAAATGGTTGTGGTGTGGAAAAGTCACAGGAACTGATAAATCGAAGAAGATGACCTCCCAAACACAAAAGCTACAAGATTCACAAAACACGTCATTAAAATCTGTGAGTATCACATAGAAGCAAAATATTTTAAAAGGGGATATGGAAGGAGGATCACCTACAGCAGAAAACCCATAAGAGAGGCTCCAGTGCAGAGGAAACATTTCCCCTTTCAACATTCCTTCTGGGTGCCAAATTTTCCTTCTGTTCTTCCCCACCTATTAAACAAAGCTGCAACTTCCAATTCCTATCAGTTTTCCTAAATATGTGCAGCTTATGTGGCTTCGACGAGCTGTAAGGCTCCGTGTTCTCCTGCCAGCTCCTTGACAATGTGGCTCCAACAGCATCCTCCACTTTTGGCTGCCTCTGGGACCCCTGGTCTCTTCTGGAAAGGGAGAGGGAAAGCATATCCTTTGCTGGAAGGACTTTTTGTGACTGCGAAGCCGATAGCAGGGCTGTGAAGAGCTTGGAAAGATCCCTGTAAGCGTCACGGCTCTGTCTGTCGAGGCTGCCTGCTCCGTGTACGGGGGTGTTTCGGTCCACCTCGGGATGAGCTGTGCATAGCTCAGCATCAGATGCAGGGTGGGCTCATGGGGATCACTTACGAAGCACCCACAAAAGCCTGCCTAGGGGAAACTGAGGCTAACGGGAGACAGTATAATGAATTACACTGACTCCCAGCACCAAAGGTATTTTCCTTGCAAACTTGCACATTTCCGATAGAGATGTTCCTGTCCAGCCAAGTCTGAATCCTCTATTGTAGTCCTATTTCGGCTCTTTGAGCTGGGCAGTTGGAGGGAACTAAAATACTGGAAACATGTTTCTGCACCTAATTTACCTGCCAGAAACAGGTGGCTATTTTAAGCGAGAGGATGCAAACAAACTAGTAGGCAGTTCTGGGACCTTTGCAACTGGAAGAAATTCTCTCTCCAAGCCAGCGCTCGTATCCACTTCGGTTGCTGGAACCACCGTGAAAACTCCTGGTTCACAGATGTGAAACAAATTACGAAGCTTATGCAGTTGCATTCCTCCTTATTATTGGGAACAAAACAAATCTGGGAGATGGAGGACTTCTTAAAGTAATTATTGTCTGGCTTTATTTTAAGAAAACGCAACTAATTCTGAAAACTCCACAATTCCTGAAGATTTCCCAGCCTAGGGAAGTCACATTAATTATAAGATTAATTTGTTTTAATTCCCTAAACCAAAAATATTGACTGAATGAGAAATTAACACATGTAGAGCTGCAGATGTCATTTGGCTTCAGATTTCCTGAATGATATAATTATTAATCTTTCATATAGCAGTGTGACAAACCTACAGATTCATTCTACAAAATTGGTCTGCGAAGAAAGACACCAGGACAGCTGAGCTATAGATTTTCCCTTAATACAGGAAGGAAAACAGTGGAATTTTCTAAATAATAAAGAAAACCAAAATATTTTAAAGACATGTGGTGCACATCTGTCTGAAATACAATAATTTAAAGCAGAGTAATTAAATGCAAGTTACAATATTCACCTTAGAGCAGGGGAATTATCTCATTTCATTTTTAATAGAACTTGCCGAATTTGGGAAATTTAGATCATCTGTGGTATCTTTTGAACATTCTGTGCTAGTAAAGAAGATAGATTAGCAAATTGGCTTTTTATTTTCTTTTTAGATGACCAACCTTGTGTTTCAAGGCATTGAGCGTCCTACCCGTACAAACCTTTAATATTATCTTCAGCTGAAATTATGAATAAGTACAGGTTTCTTATTTTCTGTTTTAACTTCCAGTTAACTCCTTAAAAGTCTAAAGGTAGAAAATCCCTTGTGTTAGTTTATTCCTTTCTTCTTTACCTAAAACACTGAATGGATCAGAAGCTTTTCATGAGTGTAGCATGGATTCATGAACTTCCAGTTTGGGAAATCCTATGGTTTTAGCAAAAGTTTTTGATTAACCTATTCCTCCTGAGAAAGGGGATAAATTGTAATGGAGACTGTATACATATTTTTTGACAGGCAAAAAAAGAAAAATAGGGTTATTCCCTACCCTTTTTTTAAAATGATTTTGCCTTCAGCTAGGTGAGCTATTACTCAGTTCTTCTCACTTTCAAAGTTGGTAATTTGAAGAGTAAAGGCATCATTTGAAGACAGGGAAGAGAGACAAGAATGTGATGAAGGTGAGTTTTGATCCTGAGTGCTGGGTTGAGGAAAATGTCCAGCCGTGCCATGTAAGCAAAGAGGGAAATTATGCTGAAGACGTTTAGTCCCCAAAAGTACAATGTAGGAGAAATACTGTTCTGATAAACAAAAAAAAAAGCAGTTCCACAAGTAAACATAAATGATGCTGAGGTAAGTTCTGTTTCTTTCAAGGGAACATGACAAAGATCCTGAAACTTTCTTTAAAGTTCTGCTGAAACTGAAAGAGAAAGAGCTGCCTTTCCACGTGTCCGTCCTTGGAGAGGCTTTCACTGAAATTCCAGGTACCTTTCCGTCTTTTTTCCTCTACTGTAAAGTTACCATACAATAAATGTTTCCAGAAGTTGTTTTCATGTATGTATTTTGTTATATTAGTGAAAGAACATGTTTAAAATCTTCATAGCTGTAAAACTAAATAATGTTGGTATGTTGTAAAATTAAAATTTTTAAAGACAATAAGCATTTTTTTTTTACTTGGCAGTGCAAGACCTTATTTATGACTTGTGTTTCAGTAACACTTCTGTATTTATTTAAATATAGAGATAGGTGTGAGTGATTGGATGTTTCAGATAGGAAACAGAATCTTTCAGGTTGAGGTCACTCATCTGAAATCCAGACTGAGATTTCAGCAGGTGAAAACACTTCGTTCCCTTTCAAACGTGAGGTTAAGGACTTCTGTGGAGAGCTTCTGGTTTGTATCTGGCATGAAAGCAGTCATTAATCTTTAATATTTTTATACCACTCTTTTGCACACTCCTTCCGTTTCTTCGTTTCTGACAACCACTACTCTGTAAACAGTTTTATCTGTCTGAAAAACTAATAAGGTTTATTGTGTATACACACAGCTTTGTGCCTGAGATACCGTGGTAATAAAGAGAATAATCAAATCCTATATTGGGTGCACTTGTACTAAATTAAACCTTTTAAAATTGTACATTAACAGTGGGCGAGCTTCAAAATATCCAGCATTTTAGCTCTCATGTGTTTTCCAAAATGTAGACTTGTATCCCTCCACCTCTTTGGTCCGTAAAAATAGACTGGGGATTAGTTTATTTGTCAGTTCTGTCGTATCTGTTGCCTGCTGGACTGGTGATATTTCAGTTGCTTTAGTTTTGATTTTGCAGTTTTTAAGACACCAAGGAATTGATCTGATCCAAATAACTTTTGGGTCCCCAACTGTGGCACAGCTGGATTGGGAGAAGAGGTAGTAATTCGGAAACAGGAATTTCTTTGTGTTTTCTGTCCACTTCTTTTTTAGACAGTTTTCTGAAAGCCTGTTCTTCCAGGCAAGTCTTATCACAGATCCCAAGGCAACGTTGCTTTCCAGACTGAGCGCACCAGATTTCTTAGAAGGAGAAATTTGTAAGGAATATGTGACAGATAGGAATATACGATGGTGCACTGCGGGAACAGATTCTATTGACACTCATTTTGGATGTTGTTACATATCTCATTTGTGGCTTCAGTGCTTATGAATAATGTAGATCATCCTAAATTTATGCCAGTATATCAAATCTATATGCCGCACCTCTTGTCTTGTCAATTCATTCATCCTCATGTATAAATAGAGTCTATATAAAGGGCAACGTGGTGTAATGTGTCTCATCACCATGCATTTGATAGGGCTGTATTCATACAAATGACATACGCAGGTCATTGCTAACAAGTACCAATAAAACCTGTTGCACATACTTTACTGAAAATCTATTTAAGAGATTTTTTACAGATTTTTTTTTAATAAATTGTTGGTACTATGTTTCCTCTCCCTCCAATTATGGGATCAAATTCCCTCAGTATTATAAATGTCACGTTTACAGTCATTGGTAAGGGAAAAAATGCATAACATATTTCATAATTCAGTAATCATTCATTTATTTGAAAACCCAGTTTTCACTGGTTAGAAGTAGACAGCAAATTTCCAGTAGGTAGTTAAGAAATCTTTAATTTTCAGTGGTGCTAAAGCTTGGGCTTAGGCTGTAAAGGAATCAAGAGGTACGACTTA